TTTTTTTTTTTTTTTTTTTTTTTTTTTTTTTTTTTTTTTTTTTTTTTTTTTTTTTTTTTTTTGTAATTAAAAAAGAAATGTGTGTTTTGACAAGTGCTATATATTTCTCACAGTTCTTCTTAGAGTTGATGCAAGTACCTCGTGTAGAATCTAAGCTTCGAGTTTTCTCATTTAAAATACAGTTCATCTCTCAGGTGAATTGCCTTACCTGCCACAGCCACACACGTACGCTCATATGCACTGAGAAAATCATTAACCAGCCTTTCTGAATTGTCATGCAGATCACTGACCTCAAGAAAAGCCTGAACTTTGTCAACTCTGCAGCAGAAGAGGTAACTTACTCCCCATGATTCGATGACATGGATTTGGAATCTCTTATAACTTTTCTAACACTCTTATTTCAGATAAAAAGTTCAGTCAAGTTGAAGAGAGTCATGCAGACAATACTATCACTAGGAAATGCTTTAAATCAGGGAACGGCGAGGGGTTAGTTTATGTTGCATTTATATTTTCTCTGAATTCAGCCTATTATCGCCATTCATTTACCATAATGAATACAGTACACGAATTTATCTGAACATTTTAATTTTCTCCTTTAGGATAAAAAATTGAAAATTTTGAATTCCAGCGGAACTTCATCTTTTAACCTTAACTCCCTTGTTCATTTGCCTTCCTACAAACCTCTTTCATCTCAATGATATCTTTAATTTGGAAGTTATATTAAGTTGAGTTAGCTCCCTTCCATTTCTCTCTCTCTCTCTCTCTCTCTCTCTCTCTTTGTTATTTATGTGGAAAGATTATCACTCGCACGCTAATTGAAATATTTATGTTGCAATAGCCTCATTGACTTGATCTACTAAAGGTCGTTCATTCTTTTTTAGGCTCTGCTATAGGATTTAGGCTGGATAGCCTTCTTAAACTGACAGAAACTCGTGCACGAAACAACAAGATGACTCTAATGCATTATCTTTGCAAGGTGCAACTTATACTATCTATTTCTCCATGAGCATGATTTATATTTTGTTAGGTTACAACTTTACATTGTCAAGGCATAAGATACCGTACGGGCTTTAAAATACTGTCTACCAACAGTATGTATCTGTGATGTCTATCTCACTTTTTTAATAGCTTTTTTGGTTCTTTTGTAAAAGTTAATATGACACTATTATAAAATACACATCATATACTGTCTGCTAATGATATGGACCGCACTTTTTAAACAATAAGAAAAGTTGTAGCAAGAAATAAAGAGAGAGAGGGAGAGAAAGAAAAAGAAGAGAAAGTAAAAGTATAGAAAACATGGGGTTGAATGAGCTGGACGCCTGTAAAACCGATTACCACACCTAAAATCAGGAATAGAAGAGCACAAGATCAATTGAGAGACGGTTATGGGATTTCTGAATTATGGTGATGCTTGGGCTTTTCTATTTTACCATCGATAGTCAAAATTTAGAGCTATTCTTGAAGATAATAATTAATTAATTGAAGTGGTTCCATGTCAATCTCAAGTTGAATTTCTTGGTTCTTACTCTAGTACCATTAGGTGGTTATTGGAGAGAATTAAGCCTCTAGTGTTCCTTGTAATCTCTTGAAAATTTCCCTAAATATAGTATTATATTTCAGGCCTGTTTTCTTTATCTTCATCTCAAGTTCAGGTATCCTTCAGACAATCTTTGAGAATAACTAGATAGTAACTGACTTGGTGTGGTCTACTAGAACCAAGCTAAAGTGCCTGTCTGATATGTATCAGACACTTGAACACTTCGACACTTGTTGGGTACGTTTGGACACTTGTTAACACAATAGACATGTGTTAAACACTTGTTGTACAAAGTGGATGTGGGTCCATCATTTGTTAGATACATATCAAACACTTGTTAAGTCTACCAAATAGACACAAACAGTAACATAGGACATAAATAATAATTTTTTAGAGCAAAATACATCAAACACATTTTGAGCCTTAAAATGCTTAAATTTACTGACTTTGAATTTCCTTTTGGTACAAAATGATATATATTTTAATAAACATGTTCTTATTGTGCCCTTGCTATTTTTTTTTTTTTTTTTTTTTTT